AGGAGTAGGCTGGCTGCGAAGGTGGCTCCTCCATCTTTTGGATCACCTCAGCTTTGAGCACAGACACGGGTGAGGCCCTGGGAGAGAGGGGAGGTGGACTCACAGCCTTGCTGTAGGACGTGGAGGTGCTGGGAGACAGCACAGGTGGTTTTCGGTGCACCAGTCCCGGGGCAGAGGAGGAAAGGCCTGATTTGGCACTGTCCAGGCTCCGTTTTGTCGCCTTCTCTTCCATATCTGCACGCTGCTCGTTCGCCTTCAACCTCTCCTGCGACAAGAACAAAGCAAAACTCAGCACGACATCTCTACCTGCTCCTGGAAAGCACAGATATACCACCAAATGAGACCAAAAGATGGTCTTATCAAACATGGACTGGAACAGAACACATGTTCCTCAGTGCAACACCATCTTAAGGCCAATCTGATGGAGGGTGACACTGATCTGTCATGGCTTTCTTTACAAATTCCCAGGAGTCATGTGAAGGGTGTCTCAACGTTCACTTGCAACCAAAGCAAACCATTTCTATTTCTAAGTCTCCAGCCTAGCAAGCACATATATAAAATGAAGGCTGAAAACCAGATGACCACTATAAAATTAAATGGGTGTAAAACACCCAAATGAGAGCTCACAACTTCCAAAATCATTTGGTGAATGGGACCTGGCTCCAGAACCCAGTGTGATTGCTGCCAGTTATTGCAGCTGCTTCTTTGAGCCACTCAGGAGGTTTGTTTGGAAGTGACCAGGGATGAAACCACTCAACCAGCGACATCCTGAGGGAAGGAATCGAGGTCGTGCTGCTGCTGGGCAGCTCTCCTGACAACACTGCTCAACAGCTCTATACCAAACCCCTCCAAAACCCACCCCAACTGTGCAGGATGCACTGAATGCCTCGTATCCCAGGGACCAGGGCAGGATCGCTCAACACATCCATACCCTTGAGACACACTTTCAACACTGGCACCACTACTTTTCTCCCCCCAGACACCCCAACTTCAGGCTCGTTTCATGTCCAAGCAAGAAGCTCCTAAAAACGTACCACGAGCTGGGCGCTCCTCTGTAGCTCCATGGCATGGGCCGCTTGCTGCTGCAGAATGTACAGCTCGTGCTGCCGCAGCAGCTGCTGATGGGAGAGGAGCTGGAGCTGGTGAGCATGCTGGAGGGAGCTCCTGGTTGGGGGGTACATAGCGGGCCACAGTGGGGGTGCCCGGTCCATCAGCTCCGCTGGGGAATGAGCAGAGATGCAGTCAGGGAAGCAGGAGGGGGATGGCTAGAGGATTCAGGACTGCGCAAGGCAACTGTCTCTACCCCAGTGCCAGGGTGCAGGGGATGCCAAACATTGGGCTATGCAGAAATGCAACCAGAAATGGAGAGGGGAAAGGGTGCTGTCTTTCCCTCAGCAGCCCAACTCCCACCACCCCGTAGGTCCTGGGGCCATCTGACTTGCTTTGCTCTCTACACACCCTTGGTCTGACTGTCCCTGGCTGAGCCCTTGAGGAGTGTCTCCTAACCAAAGACCCCCCAAAGTCTGCAGGGTCCTGCAGGGGATGAGGAGCCACTGCTGAAGACTACACATTTCCATCTCTGAAACAAGCCTAACAAGAGGCCAGCTCACACCCACCCTAGAGCTGCGGCTGCTGGTCCCCACAGTTATGTACGCTCCTATCCAGCCCTGTCCAAAGCCCGTTTCCTCCACAGCTGTCAAAGCATGGTCCTCAGGGACGTGCTCACATCCTTACCGAAGTGTGGTAAGTGCTCGCTGGGGATCACAACAAGCTGTCCCGACTGTGGGTCTCTGGCAAACTGGTAGGCGGAAGGGAGAGCTCCCCCCATGGCAGGGGGGAAGCCTGGAGTCATGCCCTGGTGCAGGGAAGGGTGACCAAGTCCTGGAAGAAGAAACACCACAGTCACAACTCAGGGGATGCAGGCAGCTCCTACCCACGCGAGAAGTCATCTACCATTTGATTGTTCCAAAATACCTCCTTCCCTTTCCCCTGTGATCAGACAGCAGCCTCACTGGGCACTTAGCAACACCTCTCCCTGGACTGCATCGGTGTGAACGCCCCACGGACACATCTCTCCCTCCCAGGGCACTCACCGTAGGGATGGCCGGCCAGCCACATGGCCTGGGGAGCCAGGGGTGGGCTGCCAAGTGCGAAGCCGGGTCTGCAGACCAGCGCCCGGAGCCCGTCAAGGCTGGGCCTCCCGTCACCATGAGGTTGGAGTTCAAACCATTCGTGGCGCAGCCGGAGGGGTGTATCCGGGCAAAATCTGCCAGCTCCTTGCTCTCTCTGGTCATGGGGGAGGCAAGAGAGAGAGTGAGAGAGGGTCCAAGTGCTGCAGGTTACTGTGCGGCTGGAGGAGCCCAGGGGTATGGACCAGTCTGCCAAGCAAGTGTATTTGCAAACTAGGGTCAGATGCTCAAGGAGAGCTGTGATGGAGGTAGTTAACATCGCGTCCAGAATAAAACATCCCATCTCTCCACCCCTTTGGAGCAGGCATGGATTTGCAGCAGTCTATTAGGATTGCTCTGCTGCAGATTGAGGATCTGCCCGTAATGCCATGCTACCCCACTCTGCACTTCTCTCCACACCAGCAAGGCTGGAGCCAGCAGCTTCACCAGGATGGATGCAACCCTGTTCCTCCTCCAGACAGGCTGTCCCCAAGCATGGCTTGTGGCACTGTGGCAAGACACCCCGTTCCCCTCTGACCCTCACCTGAGCAGCTTCTCCTGATCCCGCTCCAAGCGCCCTGCCAGGAGGTGGCTGTCCCGGTGGCGGCTCCTCTCATCCCCGCAATCATCTTCCGAGCGTCCATGCCCTAAGAGACAACCCAGCACCATCAGACATGAGAAACAGTCCGGGGAAAGCTGTCCTCTCTCCTCTGAGCATGGAGAGGTAGTAGCCTGGGAGCCAGCACACCCAAATGCCACTGTCCCCGAGACTGTATCAGGTCCGAGCCCTAAAGGACAGGGCAAGGCCGTCTATGCGATCAAGATATTCTCACGAAGGCGGCTCCTGGTAGCGCTCAGGCACATGTGGTTTGAGGTCCATGTCTTCAAGCCATCAAGGGACCCGCTCGCCAGGTCAGGCCGGTCTCCCAGGACAGGACAGCCACCAGCCTGGGAGCAGCAGGACCAACGGGACCATTTTTGCTGAAGGACAGTGGCAGATTTCCCATCTCAGAAGGAGATCAGGCCCAGCTATATCCCTGCATCAAACCACACAGTCCTGCTTAACACATCTTGCAGGGGGTGGATTTTATCTCTGCACCTTCCGAAGCACCTTCTGCTCTCGTAAACCAGTCTGGGAGCACTGGGTACGCTCTGAAGCCCTGTCCTTCTGCAACAGGCAGAACCAACACTACAGACCCTCACAAAACCAGCGAGCTCCGCTCTGTAATTCAACCTGTTAGCAGGAATCTGCGTTCCCCGCCACCCCGAGCCATGCAACAAGAAAGGGTCTGGTGAGGCAGGGGCACATATGGCAGATGAGGGCAAGACTCCAAAAAGGGGGCTGGATGTTTGGCTGAACGGCTCTTGCAAATACAGCCTGGCACGGTAGCAGCCGCGTCTGCGAGAGGGTAGCAAGCAACTTCACAGGAGCGAACAGCAGCTCCTCGCTGGCCCTGCCAGGACCAGGTATTGGGGCCACCCTTCTCTTATTTTAGCCAAGGTCTTCACCTCAGCTGCATGATTTTAGGCTTGCTTTTCCCTAGTTTTTTCCCTAGCTTCTTTCTTGCATATGCATTTTTTCCACAATTCCCTGTTGCCCCTGTCCATGTTAAACTTTGGTGATATGACTCGCTCCTAAATTTCAGCCCTGCTTGCAGCGAGCCGCTGGCCAGTCTAACGGGGCCAGGAGGAAGGTATTTGCTTCCCCCCAGCTCTCAGTGCACCCTGCCAGCACATCCCCTTGCTCGGGCGATGCTTTGCACCCCACAAGGCTCGGCGGCGCAGCACAGCCTCGCATGGCTGCACCCTGGCTCCTGGCAGCCTTTTCCAGGGTCCGCGCTCTCCTGTCTGAGTAAGGTTTGGCACACAGGAAAGCATCTCAGAACATCAAGTCTATTCTGCTGACAGGCAGTCTTTTCAAGGAGGGCTCCGCTGTGTATTTCCACAAACCTGGACAGCCCGTGGTTTTTTTGCTGTCAAGTCTCCAATTCCCTCAGCCTTTACTGTCAGAAGGAATCCAGGAACAAGACAACATCTCTCCCAGCTCCTCTCCCCAAGGCTCCTTCCATGGGCTTCAAGCAGAAAGCAAAGATGCTTTAAAACCTGGCACACACCTCTCCTTCCCGAAGGACTTTCCAGGGTCACCACATTTCCCTTGCAGCCTGCCAGGACACTGCGTGCAGTGGCTGTCCCCAACCAGCCCCCTGACTCGCTGAACGATGCCCTATGCAGCCTCCGTTGCTCCGTTTCACTACCCAGCCTCCATGGCATGAGGCACCGGGGCTCGCAAACCCCTCCGGAGCCCCAGCATCCCTCCCTGCCTCTCCGCCAGCATCTCCACACGCACACAAATCCCCTTCCACTCCCTAGCCCAGGTTTTCCCCCCTTGGAGCCCTTTTTCCTGATTATTTTGCCCAATCGATGCCCAGCTGCCTCTTCTGTGTCAGCAATATGGAGCAAGCCCTTGGTTAACTCGCAGCCTCCCCCCCCTCCTTTGGCACAAGGTGAGTTGACAGCCCCCCCACCCCACCCCCCTGCAGCCTTTTATTAGAAACATATTATTTTGTTATTTTACCTCCACTCCTCCCTCTCCCATCTACACTACTTGTGCTCTGTTATTTATAGATGGGTTTATCATCTTTTTCTCATCCCCCATCCAAACACACACACTTTCTTATTCGTCTAATTCCCGCCTAGCCCCCACCCCGCTGCCAGGACGGTCCCTTTTCTGTACAGACCGATGATTGTCCGGACAGTGAATGATCATTTTGTCTATATATATGAACATGACGCACAGACCGCATAGAAAAATTCAATCACTTATGCATGGAGGAAAGGCTTAGGTCCGTTTCCTTGACAACCAGTGCCCGGCACTAAATACTTGCATTTTACTTGCCAAATACTACAGATTAGCCAACTAAAGCCTGCTTTCTCCTTCTTAAAAGGTCTAAACATTCAAGCACCGTCCACTCGGCGCAAGCAAGCTAATGTTATTAGACGAATATCTCCTGGCACACAAAGGGGGGGGCAGCATTTGGGGGGCGAGAGGAGGAGAAAAGCAGTCTTGTTTTCTGTCTGAAAGCCAACTGCATCACTTAGCAACGAGCCCGGAGGCCTGCCAGAATTCAACCCTTGTTTGCAGCCTTTTAGTTCGGCTCAGTAAATTACATTTAACGCAAGCTGGGAGGGTCTGGGATGATTGAACGGCTGAACAAACAGCTCCCTGTGCTGCCCACGAGGTCCTCAGTCGGCTCCCACCCGGCCGTGGGGAGGGCGACGGGAGGCGATGGGAACGGGGAGAGGGGCTGCCGGCCGGGAGAAACCATCTCTCGCCACTGAGGTTTGGGAGAGGGAGGCGAAGGCAGAAAAATGGGAAAAGCAAAGGCTAAAAATGGAAACCCAACCATTGCTTGTCAGCCGCTCGCTTCGGCATCGCTCCTTGGCACACCAGAGCCGAGCTCTCCCCGCGCTGGGCAGCCCCCAGGCGTTATCTTGCTACACAAGCCAAGCAGAGCACCAAAACACTCGCCAAAGCCGTTCCCCTCCTGCCAGCGCCATGGCTTAAATCAAAAACCATGAGACTAAAACACCAGCACAAAGGTGGATTAAGGGGTTTCTCTGTCACTCCCTTCACTAACGGGGATCAAACATGTGCAGAAGGGTTGTCCTCGGAGGCGGACAGAGGCGATGGCATGGGGGAAGGGGAATTCCCTCTCGCATCGGGAGTCCTGCTCCTTGCTGTGGTCTACGACATGCCCTTGGCTGGGAGCAGGAGGCAAAGAGAGCTGAGGATGCCAAACTCAGCTCACGCCACACAGCCTGTCCCAGGTGGCTGCTCTCCCCAGGGAACAGATCCCCCAGCGAAGTCCCAAGACACGTCTGGGGACCCTACCTTTGATGCTGCTGAGAGACAGCGAGCGATCCCGGTCTGCCAGGCTGGGCCCCAGTTTGCTGCTGCTGCTGCTGCTGTTGTCCTTCTGCCGGGCCACGGCCACAGCAATGCCGACGGGCAAGTGCCTCACCTCCACCTCGCCCTGGGAGCCAATGCTCTCACGGCCAAAGGATTTGGCACTCTCAGGTCTCTCGGGATCCCTCTTCAGCTGCTTCGCTGGCTGCTGCGACAGCAGCTGCTGCACTTTGGAGGCACCCAGCTGCGAAGAGTCCAACTTCATGTTGCCCAAGCCGCCAAAGGGGCTCTTCTTGCCGCAGCTCTGCCGGGATGCGGTCTCCTTGGCAAAGCTGCCGCTGTACTTGATGAGGCTCTGCATGGCCGACCCTTCGCCGTGGGAGGCAGGGTGGAGGACGTCCGCGGCGCCCCGCGAGCCCACCACCGAGGACCGTGGCAAGCCGCTGGGGTCAAGGTAGACCTTCTTGGCTTCCTCCTCCGCCCGGGTGACGTGGTTGTGCTGCGCGGCCAGCACCGCCATCTGCGTGGTGGCAAAGTTGCCCATCTCAAAGGGCTTCCACTTCTGCTCGGGCGGTTTCAGCTGACCGTGGTCCAGGTGCTGCCGGGAAGAGTCCAAAGTGCCGTAGACCTTCGCCGCTTCTTTGGAGCTGGATCGCTGGAAGCGGTCCCGCTCGCAGGGGCGATGCTCTGCCTCTGGACTCGGCTTCAGCAAGTCCTTGGAAGCCAGGAACTCCCTGCTCTCCGGAGAGCCCAACCCTGGCCGGTTGAGAAAGGGCTCCGAAGTGACCTGTCTCTTCAGCGCCATGGAGTTCGCCCTGATCACCGAGCCCTTCTCCCTCAGAGCCTCCATCCTTTTGGCATCGCTGTGGCAAGAAAAGTCCTGGGACAAGAGTGTGCGGGAAGCGTCTGCGAGGCACCGCTCCGTGGGCGACTGCAGCACCCCCACCTTGCCGAGGTCCTTGTCCTTCGTCTTGTTGTCGCGGGCCTGCGAGGCAATTTGGATGGGCCCACTCCTCTCATCATAGGCTTCGACCGAAGGCACGAAGGTGGGGGCGATGACTTTGTGCTCCCTCCCCAGCTCCTTGGCCGGTGGGAAGATGGTGTACATGCTGGAATGGACGGGCTGCGGAGGGAATGTCGTGGCCGGCGTCATCTTCCCCGGCTGCGAGGGATGTGGGGACGGGCAGCTGCAGGAGACGTGCAAGGCGCCCACGGAGGGCAGGAGGGGCTCCCCCCGCTTCAGCCGCTCGGCCTGGGCGTGCGCAGAAGGCCTCATGTTCTCATCGTGCCGAGCGGGATCCTTGGCACAGCGGTCCTGCTCTGCACCCAGGACCTTCAGCATGGGGTCCCCGCCGCCGTTGCAGTTGCTGAGGGAAGAGCTCTGCAGTGGGTTCTTGGACTTGGGTTCCCCACCGCCCATGCCCCGATTTGGCATGTGCTCAGCCAGGAACGGCGAGAGACGCTCGCTGACCTTCACCGCCTTCTCCACCACGCTCACTTTCCGGTCGCTGTCGGGCTTGGTGTCCTGCGTGAGGTCTACCACACTGCGGGGCCGGGGCTCCTCCTTTGGCTTGCCCTCCTTCTTGGCAAAGGGCAGGGACAGATCGCTCCGGCATGCCCGCTCCTTCCCACCGGGGTCTTTCAGGCCTTCTTTTGAGCTCTTGTGCAGCTGCCCAAGGTCCTTCTCCCGGAGCAAAGTGCTCGACGTGTGGTTGCCTGCTGTCCTTGAGAGGGGAGGCTGCGGATGCAAAGCGGACTGGCCTGCGTGGCCGGACAGGTAGAACCCATCTGCAGAGCAAAAGCAAACAAAATTACCACAGGCCTCCAACCCCTTCAGTCCTACACACTGGGGCAAGAGGTGACAAACCGGCAGGGAACAGGTTTCAAGGATGTCTCAGACATGGCCAGGAAGGACCAGGGCAGAGGAGACCAGGCAGGTACCTCCACATGGCCCAGGTGGGATGCAGGACAGCCCTGTCCCTGACACACGCTGAGCCTTGCGATGCAGCAGCACGTGTCGGCTTCAAGGAGGGACCTGGCCCAGTTCCCTACAGCACAGCCACATCCAAGACCTCGGTATTGCTAAGACCAGAAAACGTCCCTGGATGATAACGCCAGGGGG